CCCTCTCTCTCTCTCTCTCTCTCTCTCTCTCTCTCTCTCTCTCTCTCTCTCTCTCTCTCTCTCTCTCTCTCTCTCTATCTATCTATCTCTCTATCTATCTATCTATCTATCTCTATCTCTTTCTCGGCAAGATTAAGAAAATAGAAAAAAGAATAAAATATGTTTGCGAAAGAGAGGGAAGAAAAAATGAAGCAATCGATTGGCAGAAAAATCCCCTAAGAAGAAACGTAAATAAAACGAAAAGAATACGCAGAAAAAAATAGAAAATAAGAAAAAAAGTAAGAATAGAAAACAGAAAGAGTTAATATACAAAAGATAGATACATAGAGAGTGGAAAAAATAAAAATTCAAGCAAAGAGTTGGAATATTTAAAAGAAAATACGAAGCAGAATTTACAGAATTGTGAGAGGAAGAGGAGGAAAGATAATTAAAATATATTGTGAAGGTAAAAGACTTAATTAATCGGATAAGACTCGATTTTTATGTTTTCTTTTTAAACATTGCGTTTTTTTCCCCATCTTTTCTTTAATGTGTCTCGCGTATCTCGCAGCTCCTTGTCATGATAAAATTGCGCGTGACGTTTATTTCTCTTTGAAATAAATTTAAAAAATTGAAAGAAAATAACACGAAAAAAACGGAAGACATGGAGAATTTTCTAGAGAAATACGAGGTCTCGATAAAACTTCACGTGCAAGCATAAGATTTCGAAATCTGGGAAGTATTTGAGAGTATTTACTGAACAGTATTTAAAGTATTTAGGATGTTTAAAAGTATTTAGATGTACTAAGAGGATTTAGCGTATTTAGTATCATTTATTCCGAAGATGGCTTGTATAAAAAAACTCGACTACGTACAAGGGAATTTGAATATTTCTTCATTATGTTAAAAGGAAGGGGGGAGTGGAGAAATGAGAAGAAAGAGGGAGATGTGAAGAATAAAGAAAAAAAAAAGAACTAGAAGGAGGAAGAGGTGATGTAAGGGAAGAAGAAAGAGATGCAAGCGAAAACGAAGAGAAAGGAGAAGAAATAGGCCTCAGAGAAGAAGAAGAAGAAGAAGAAGAAGAAGAAGAAGAAGAAAATGAAGAAGAAGGAGATGAATAAGAAGAAGGGGAAACATAAAAGAAGAAAAAAAGAAACGTTAAAAAAGGAGATATGTGAGAAAAAAGGAAACCAAAGAGAAGAATAAGACCCAACAGAAAAAGAAGAGAAAGAAGAAGACGTAAGAGAGGAGTAAGAAAACGTAAGAAAAAAAAAATATGTGGAAGAAAATGAGACGGAAGAGGAAAAGAAGGAAACTTAAGATAAAAAGAAGAAGAGGACGGAAGAAATTGCGTAAGAAATATGTAAGAAACGAACAAGAGAGAAGATAAACAGACCAAATAATTAGAGGAAAGTGCTAATGGCAACGAGCAGATTGTTTACGAACCAAAATAAACATAAAGATTAATGAACAGATATTAAAGGGAAAGGCATGATATTATGCCGTTGAGCACCAAAGCACTTGGAAGAGCTGTAAAGTAGTTATGTAAGTAGCCAGAGTATGTGGTCATGTAGGTAGCCAGAATAAGTGGTCATGTAGGTAGCCAGACTATGTGGTCATGTAGGTAGCCAGACTATGTGGTCATGTAGGTAGCCAGACTATGTGGTCATGTAGGTAGCCAGAATAAGTGGTCATGTAGGTAGCCAGACTATGTGGTCATGTAGGTAGCCAGACTATGTGGTCATGTAGGTAGCCAGAATAAGTGGTCATGTAGGTAGCCAGACTATGTGGTCATGTAGGTAGCCAGAATAAGTGGTCATGTAGGTAGCCAGAATAAGTGGTCATGTAAGTAGCCAGACTAAGTGGTCATGTAGGTAGCCAGACTATGTGGTCATGTAGGTAGCCAGAGTATGTGGTCATGTAGGTAGCCAGAATAAGTGGTCATGTAGGTAGCCAGAATAAGTGGTCATGTAGGTAGCCAGAATAAGTGGTCATGTAAGTAGCCAGAATAATGGTCATTAGGTAGCCAGGAACTAAGTGGTCATGTAGGTAGCCAGACTAAGTGGTCATGTAGAAGAATAAGTGGTCATGTAGGTAACCAGAGTATGTGGTCATGTAAGTAGCCAGAATAAGTGGTCATGTAGGTAGCCAGACTATGTGGTCATGTAAGTAGCCAGAATAAGTGGTCATGTAGGTAGCCAGAATAAGGGGTCATGTAAGTAGCCAGAATAAGTGGTCATGTAGGTAGCCAGAATAAGTGGTCATGTAGGTAGCCAGACTATGTGGTCATGTAGGTAGCCAGAATAAGTGGTCATGTAGGTAGCCAGACTATGTAGTCATGTAGGTAGCCAGAATAAGTGGTCATGTAGGTAGCCAGACTATGTGGTCATGTAGGTAGCCAGAATAAGTGGTCATGCAGGGAGCCAGAGTATGTAGTCATGTAGGTAGCCAGAATAAGTGGTCATGCAGGGAGCCAGAGTATGTAGTCATGTAGGTAGCCAGAATAAGTGGTCATGCAGGGAGCCAGAGTATGTGGTTATGTAAGTAGCTAGAATTTGACAAGGGAGGGGTATGAGTAGGGGTTTGGGTAAGAGTAAGGGGTAAGGGGTAGGGGGTAGGAAGGTAAAGTATGGGGGGGGGGGAAGTGGTGGAGTTGGGGCGTGGGTAGGGAGAAGGGGGGGGGGCTGGAGACGTGGGTAAGGGAGGGGTATTAATAAGAGTGGGTAGGGGGGGGTAGGGGTTGATGATAGTGGGGGAGGGGGGTGTTAATTGGGATGGGTTGGGGGTATGGGCGTGGGCGTAGGGCGTTGGAGGGGGGGGGGGAGAGGATGGGCGGGAAGGAGAGGTTTTATTACGGGAGATGAAGTGAAAGGTGGATTCGTGAAGGACGGTGAGAATAACTTTTTAAAGAAGAAGAAGAAGAAGAAAAAAAGAAGAAATACACACACACACACACACAGAAATGAAAACCAATGGAAACTGATGAAAGAGAAAGGTAAATATAAGTAAGGTAACCAATAGTGTGAGTTTACTGGCTATGATCATGTAATGGGCAGGCAGGTGATAATAGCTTGTACTTTTACTGTTTCTTGCAGGAAAAAGTCCTTGGAAGTTGTACTTGATCGTGTTAGTAGTAATGATAACAACAATTATAATCAGGGTTGTGCTTTAAGGAATGGGAAGTAAAAAGCAGGAAAATAATCGAAAAGAAGATAAGAGCTGTAATTATGAAACAGGTCAGAACTGTCTAATTTGTAAAAAAATGAAATATATATCTAAAAATTGTTCAGGTTATTAAACAAACACGTATAGCAAGGGTTTATGTAAAATGAATGTTCTGTGAAAGAAATCAGTTGACTTAATATTAAAGTTTCTAAGGGACCTTGCAGACTCCTAGGTTGTTCTGTGACAGGGAGATGAGGTAGGGACTTTGCATTACTTTTCGTGAATAAATACCGCGACTTGCCAGCGGACACACAGCCAGTCGGTCGTTAGTCACCGTTCAGACATGACTCGAAGCATCCACAGAGAAGGCAGGAGAGAAAGGCAAGAACTGTTTCAATGTCAGTTCATGATGTGCCATTCGAGAGAGAAGGGGGGAGGAAGGGAGAGAGAGAGCAACAAGGAGAAAGAGATAGAAGGTATATATATATATATATATATATATATATATATATATATATATATATATATATATATATAAATATATATATATATATATATATATATATATATATATATATATATATATATAGAGAGAGAGAGAGAGAGAGAGAGAGAGAGAGAGAGAGAAGAGAAAGAGAAAGAGAGAGAGCGAGAGAGTGAGAGAGCGAGAGAGCGAGAGCGAGAGTGAGAGAGAGAGAGAGAGAGAGAAAGAGAGAAAGAGAGAGAGAGAGAGAGAGAGAGAGAGAGAGAGAGAGAGAGAGAGAGAGAGAGAGAGAGAGAGAGAGAGAGAGAGAGAGAGAGAGAGAGAGAAAGAGAGAGAAAGAGGAGGAAGAAGAAGAATATGACCGTGGCGCAGCACTGCAGCCAGCCTCTCCACAGGAACCACCAGTGGCGCTACTGAATAGTCCGTCAGGAAGCACGGCTGTTACATGACATGTAGAGTGGGACGAGAAAATTCTATCAAATATTAGATAAAATCAAATGTTTAATAAACATACAGCAATGTCATTTACACGAAAATATTTCATATTAACGTGGATGAATGTCTTCGAGGGGAAAAAATATATTTGATAAGATATACGTCGACAGAAAAAAAAACTTCAATGTGGTAGCGGATTTTTCTAAAAAGTATAAGATGAGTAACCTGTATTTATGTTACAATCACCTACAGTTGGTATTCAAGTGGATTTTGTTTTCGGGATGTTTTGCCTCCTCCACATGAAAGGGAAATTGTGACCGATGAACCAACTGAAAGGCTAAATTACACAAAACAGGCTGGGAGGCATAATTTTAAAGGCTGTTTTATTTTTCAGTATGAGTCTACAGTATATGAAGTATAGGGATAAGGAAATATGATGTTAGATACAAGTGTATGCAAAATAGCCTTTGGAATCAACAGCAAAAAAAGTACAATTATAGAATTACCTTCATTATGAAATGACAAAAAAATGCTTCAAAATATACGACTAAAGACGTGCTGCCAAGTAAAATACATAGTTGAGCAGAGAGGGCAAAGAATGCTTCACGGTGTTTTGCAACATCGCAAACAGATGTTGAGAGGCGCAACACTGCCACCATATAAAGTAGAAAGGCTTGGCAGCGCAGTCCAGCAGCAAGGGGTGTGACATGGTAATTTTCAACGGGCACGTGGGATGCCTCGCAGCAGAAACAGGTGTGGTCCGTTCTAATAACAGGTGTCATGTCTTCCAAGGCATTAGGGTGTGAGTGGGAGTGGACAGTAAATGGCTGACCTTAAGGAGCAGGCCAGCCAGCACCGGGTAACTGGATGACCTTAGATAGCGCGCCATGACGTACTCTAGATCATAGGTCCAGCGCGCGGTTAGTGTGCCGTGAGCCTTCGAGGAGAGAGGACGTGTTGCTGCCGCGCTCAGAACCAGTCTCCACGCGCTGACTGGTCCTTTTATAAGGGCTAAGTAGAGTGCATCACCCACACGCTAACTCGACCTTTACGACTATACTCGTATATAGCACGTGATTGCGTCTTCAAGTGTGACGTCTCGGATTTTAATTTACGAACAACCAACGGAAACTGCAGTGATTTTTTTACTTTGATAATCATGTGTTTGTGACAAGAATTTTTGTGAGTGCATGGACAGCAAACATTAGTTCCTGGCATTAACGAGATTGTTGCTTAAAATATATATTATCATGAACATGGAGTGAAACGATTTCCTCGTAGATTAGATTCAAAGATCTTGCAGAGATGTGCATCCTAGACCTATTCCGCTTGCAGATGGAGGTGCGGGTGAAGAAGAAGAAGAAGGAAGGCTTCAACCTCCGCCGCAACAAGATCCTCTCCATCCGGCGCTCCAAGATCTCCAACAAGTTCTCGTCCATCGGGAAGCTGCGCCACAGGAAGCGGTGCCACAAGTGCAAGCCCCGCAGCCACAGGTCCTCCTCCACGTGCATGGACCCCGCGTGCGGCCTCGACGGCGACTGGGACGACAAGCTGTCCCCCTACAGCAGCGTCAAGACGCAGTCCACCCAGTGCACAGACGACTGCAAGGGTGCGTGCACGTGCAAGTGCGACGACGTCAAGTGCTGCGACAAGGACTCCAAGGAGGAGGTGAAGGTGGTGAGCTTCATCGAGATCGAGTCCGACGGGAAGGCGATGGGCAACGACAACCACGCCTTCGAGGGCGACGGCGGCCGCTGCGACGGCACCATCAACAGGTGCAGCTTCCTCAACAAGTACCGCAAGAGGCTCATCGAGATCCAGAAGGAGGAGGAGGAAAGAGTCGCCAAGGGCAAGCTCCTGAAGACCTCCCAGGGGCTGACGAAGAGCACCAGCACCACGGGGCTGCCCGAGCACGCCGTCGCCAACGCCGCCGCGACGCAGATGCCAGACACAGACAGGTAGGCGTTCATTTCGTCCTCGGGGGAGCCAGATAATCCAGATCTAAGCGCACCAAACGAGACGGCTCGTATAACCAGCCGGGCATGAAAAACTTATGAAATCCGGTATTGTTAACATGATATGGTGTTGCGGGGTCGTAAACGGACAGTAGATAGTGGTATGCAAAAACAAAAGTCATGGCAGTACTAAATTAATATTCTTTTTTTTTTCTTTTTTTTTCTTTTTGTTTTTTAAATATTTTTTTTTTCATATCTGGAATTTGTTTTTACCAGTTTCTTATCTGTGCTCTTAAATCCGTGTAGATTATATGTCAGCTGTCCGTCTCTAAGCAACTACTACACTCCTGTCTGTAATAATGGTATTTACACACGACATGTCACAAGGAATAAAACACATGATTTCCTACTATATTCCTGCCTTCTTCATATGGCTTACAATGATACCTTCACTGATAAGAGTTTCAACAAGACGTTTGGCAGGATAAGATCTTCAGGATAATCTTGGCTATCATTTAAATCAATTTCAGGTTTAATTTTCTGGGGAGGAAAGGTTGCAGAAGCTGTTAAGATATCACGAAATTGCTTAATGTTATGCTTGCCCTGAGTTTAACTTGAGTGTCTTTATTTATAAATGTATTATATTTTCCTTATTGAAGCTTGCGTGTAAATTGTTTATTCTTGCGTATGTATTTGTATGTTTCGTATGTATGTGCATGTGTAAGGGTGATAATGATGTTCCAGATTGTGCAAGAAATGGAATAATGATTATTGAGAATAAAAACAATAAACTAACTTATCAAAGGACATATGCAAAAAAGTACTGGACCAAGACAAAAAAAGTTAAGAAAAAATCAATCGCCGAATTCGGAAAACAGGAAAAGATAGGAATAGATAAGAGAAAAAGAAAAAAAAGGAAAAAAAAAGAAAGAAAGAAAAAAATACGCGGATGTCGTGGATGCCGGAGAAGAGGGCGACGTGGGGGGAGGGGAGCTCTGACGTCATAGGATTCCCTCTCTCCGCAACGCATGAGGTGATACTTGTTAATAGATATAATAGAATTCAATCTCACTTGAAGAGAACTTTATATTTCTTAATCGGATCGCTATGCTCTCTTTTTTTTCAAACTTAATCACTTGTTTATAATAATATTTAATATCACACAAAATTTAGATCGCGTTTTGTTTGTGTCGCAAAAGCAGACTGTTCTTATAAGGTCTAATGGAAGACGGATTCATGAGCTCTTTGATGGACTGATTGTCCTTCTCAATGGAAAGTGCATCTCGAGTTTTCCAATTCGTGTCAGAAAAACAACACACATAAAAAAAACAAATACATATATGGATTTTTTTGCTCATTATCTCCACTTGAAGTTGATGTTCAGTTGATGTAATACAGGGAAATAAATCGAAGTCATTAAACCATCCATAAATTCTGTTCCCATGCATTTTTTTGAGCTAATACTGAAAACGAAAGGAAAGT